TTGTGCTACTAAGGTAGCCATCTCGGTTATTTCTCTAATGACCTCATCTCTTTCCTGTTCCGCTTGCACAGCTCGCGTCTCCATTGCTAGTAGCTGCTGTCGAAGTACGGCGATTTCTTCTTCCGAGGAGCGGGTTTCATTAATGGAGGCCCTTGGCGGCATAGGGTGGTCCTGATGCATTTCTGCGGTGGGGGGTTCGTCGAGCACTTCTTCGGTGTCCTTATCGTCCTCATCGTCATTCTCGGTCTCATCAAACTCGTAATCCATGTCTGTATACTCCTCTTCCTCATGGTCAGAAGCTGCCACGGGTCCTACTTTGGGGTCCTCTTCAATTTCTCCCTGAGCGACTAGGTTCTGGTAGAATTGAATGCCCTGATGCGCTCCATCCATGGCCATTGTGCGAGAAACTGGGAGTGAGAAGGGTGAAAAGGGGTGGAAGACGTCGTAAAATTTTAATCACGTATGCATATAGTATTTCCAAAATACTCCTATAGTATTTTAATTATTTATGTTTGAATTCCTGCGAAGTTTTGGGTATGAGGTAAGTTTCTAGGTCAACTTCCTGCCATAATTACCCCCAAACACATGTTGGTCATATTTTGAATAAATATAGTTGATCAGACTATATTTACCCCCAATATAACCACATAACTGCCCAGGTTTAATTACAACGTTTCATTTCCTCTAGAGACTTTTAATGCTATAGTTTTAATGTATGCACTTTATTCAGAGTGTTTTAGTCCCATTGTATTTATAGTTGCATATCATGTAGGGTTAGATATGGTAGTTCACTATAAACAATGCTCTAATACCAACCTGTCACACCCCCGGACCAGACGACGGAAACGTCCGGGGGCTCGTGTGACTATAAATTGAAATATCATCACAATGAATATACATGAAACATAAAACAATCGTCACCAACATTACATATAATAACTGGAATTGTTCACATCAAGTACATTGTTTTACATTACGTAATCCGAAGACATAAGTTGTACAAAAATTGACATATGCAAAAAAGAAATCCCAAAATATTGTCGACGATTCTTCAGCTTAACGATTACCTGAGAATACAAGTTATTTTGAAAACGGTCAACATATATAATGTTGGTGAGTTCATAAGCATGTTTAAATAAAAGTATTTGTATCTTTTATAAACCCAGAAAATCCGATATTTTCTGTAAAATGTCCAAAAACAAATGATGTGAAAATCGAGTATAAACGCATGTGTGAGTTTCATGGTAGTAACATATAGGAATGCAGTTCAAATTTCTTTGTATTCTTTCTGTTGTATGTAAGTAGTATTTGAATAATGGTTTTCCCCATAAAATCCGATATTTTATGATTTATAAAAATGTCACGGTCCTTGCACTATAGAAATGTTTTGTGTCATTATGACTTACGAGTTTTTAATTTTTCCGTAATGTCTTAATGGGAATGGATCTCTATATGAGTCGTTATAACCATACATGATAGTGACTGATTTGCCTGTCTTGGCATTTTTTTCAAATGTCGGATTTTCGTTCAGGGTTTTGTCACCCTAGACTGGCCTAGTCTAACTGTAGCGAACAGCTCAGGTGTGGGGGAGTTACCCCCGTATAGATCTATACACAAACTCTCGCTCTCCCTCCAGGAGACTCTGATTATAACTACAAGCTACGACCATACACTCAGTGGTGTCAACCGACACGTCTCACTAGATCCCATTTGTATTCACATGAATTTGTATAATGTTAAATGTATTTAGAAGTTCGATCATTAGATAATGTTTGAAATGATAACACAAGGCCCAACAAACATGAAGAAAAGGAAACTATGGCCCATTAGTTGTGTAAGTTATTTTCAGGCTAAATTAGCATGTAAATGGGCCACTAAGGCCCAATAACATGTAAGTGCTAAATTAGTCCCATTTAGCATGTGATTGGGTCACTTATGCCCAATAGACATGTGATGAATACATTGGGCCCAATAAAAGTGTAATTGGACCACGAAGGCCCAAAAACATGTATAGCAATTACTAGGCTCAATAATCGCACCATTGTTGTATTTCGTTTGTTCGTTATAGTATAGTTTGTTAAGTCGTAATTCTATAATTTGAACTTAATTTTAATAAAACTTGCGCTCTAAACCTCTTAAAAACTAATTTGAGACATTTAAAGGCTTATTTCACAAAAATGTCATTTTTGGTCTATTTTAGTTAAAAATAACATTTTAGCCCATTAATTTATAAAAGTTCTATATTTTCGGCCCAAATGTTTAATAATTGACAGGTTTGACCCAAAAATACATGTATTGGCGTTTTCAGTCCATTTTTGCAGAAAATTACATTCTTGACCCATTTTTCGTGAATTTTACATTTTTGGCCCAAATTCCAAAAACTTTGCATTTTTAGCCCAATTTAGAAATAAATGTTATTTTCACCCCTAAATTTGGTTTATTTACATTTATGGCTCAAACTTTGATCAAATTACATTTTTAACTTCAAAACTCTCATTTTTCGCAAATTTGGGCCCAAAACCGTGAGGCCCAAATATTAAGCCCATTAGGCTAAAATTTACACTTTTGGGCCTTTGAAAAGTAGGGTTATCATAAAAATCCATTTTTTATAAGTATGACCTGTTTGATCCTTATAAAACCGTAGATGTCACTTTTTTCCGTTATCTTTTGTTTTCTTGACAATTATGACCTTCAACAAGATTTTTGCTTTAAATTTTCATATCTCAAACATGTAAATACTTTTAACTTGATAATATGATGTATAAGGTGTCTTAGTTCATGGATCTTTACTCTATGTTGCTTAAGATGTCGAGATGTGTTAAGATCTAACACATTTCTACAAAATAAACTAAGAAATCACACATGACATGCATAAAACACATAGATCTACACATTTTACTTGTATACTCCCCCAAAAATCATGTAAAAACCGAAAACAAGGGGGTATGAACTGACCTTTGCTTTGATGTTTCGGTTTTGGAGAGGAAATGGAGAGATTTTTGGTCCTAGCAACACCTTGGAGTAGTTTTCGGACTTAGATGATTTCTAGGGAGTTAGATCATGAACAATTGTTTAGAAGGAGTGTTCTAATATAAAAATGAAGTTATGAAACTTGGATATGTAAGAACTTACCAAGAAATGATGATTTTTGGTGGTGAAACCCTCTTGAGATGCACTCTAATTCTTGAAAATTTAGAGGAAAGGGGAAGAGTTCTTGAATGAGTTTATGAAAGTGTTTGAAAAGATGAAGGGTGGTGTGATGGAGCTTGGCCGAGACCATTAAGAAGAGAGGGAGGAAAGGAATTTTTGCATGATGGATAATAAGTTTCTTGATACATGTGATTATCTAGTTATTTGCTAGACATTAATGTGTTGTCATCCTTTTATTTCATCATCCTTTCATTGTTTTTATTTTTTTTACACACACATGGACCGAAAATGGGCCAAATGAAGTGAAAGAAAATAGCATTGGGGTCAATCTCTTGGCTTGTTCGAAATCATGAGGCCCATAGAGAAAATTTTCGGCCCGTTGGGCCTTTAGAGTAGTTCACGGCCCAAATGGTATAAAAGAATGAGTTTTATGGTCCATTAGGGTTAACTGGTTCAATTAAAGATGTTTAGGGTCCATTGAGGCTATTTGAATTTGTTGTGGCCCAAATTGGCCCATTATGGTAAACTAATCCATTCTAGGCCCATAATGTCCCAAAATGTCAAGTTTCATGAAGGTGGAACCGTTTAGAGCCCAAATTAGGGTTTCTAGGCCCTAATTAATCAACTTGGATACTTCTTGGTCCATTTGGCCCAACAAGAAAATCCTAGACCTTATTAGACTTGAACCAGGATTTTTAGAGTTTCAAACTCTTTGTTGAACATAAGAGGTGTATTTGAATGTGCATGAAGTGATATCTACATAGAGTACATGCTTTTCAATAGTTGAATGATTACATGAGAGTAGAATTTCCTAGCTAAATTGCTAGTTGTGACATAGGATGCTCCAGAATCCAAGACCGAATCATCAACATAAGTTGATGTACTAACAGTCAGTACATCACCATCACCCCCTTTATCATAACTTTCCTAAACCACAACAGTAGTGTTATTGCTGCTTGATTCACTCTTGAACTCCCCATTCTTCAGTTGTGGACAATTTCGCTTGAAGTGTCCCTGCTCCTTATAGTTATAACATTTTGCGTTCGATGAACCTTTAGACTTTGATTTGAACGTGATCTCCCTCTTTTTCCCCATTCCCTTTTATTTCCTTCCTCTCCATGCGAACAAACCGAAACTGGACACATCCTCTCCAACTGAAACTTTTGTTTTTAGTTCCTTGGACATCATAGAGTCCTCTACATCATTCACATTGATTTTTGTCCTACCATAGAGCATGGTATCAACGAAATTCTCATATGAGTTTTGAAGAAAACATAAGAGAATGGGTGCCTGTATTCATCTTCAATCTTTACATTAACCCTGTTAGGATAAAATCCTTAATGATCGTTTAGATTCAAATAAAGTAAAAGCAAAACACAATCAATGATCCAAGTAGTGCTGAATGATTAAGTGTCATTCCTCAGAAGAACTCGACAAAGAATTGCTATTGTAGAGGCGTGATTAGGGTTACAGAAAATATGAGAGTTTTTTAAATTACGATGCATGCATGCATCTTAAGTACTCTAACCCTAGAAGATAACTACGGGAGGAAAGGCCCAACCTGTTTACATAAAAGACTAAACAAAAGCCCAATGACGTAACATCTAATACCCAAAAATCTCCTCCTTTGCATCAATTGAGGTATGAAACCATTAGCCTTGAATTCGCTTCTGTACTTCGTAAACTTTTGGAATGATTCCAAAAAGTGTCTGACGAATTTCCATATACCACATGACCATGTCAGAGAAGCACTTGAGGTCATCCTTACTGTTGCTTTTGCATTTACTCACCAAATCCAAGATATACTCAAGGAAGGATATGGTGTACAAATGTTTGTCAGAAAGGAAGATTCATCCCCTGTGAAAGTCTGCACCAGTTCGTTCCCTAGCCTGATAAACCACGAACCATTCTCCACTGTATATCTTCCCTAGCTTGAGCTTTGCGAAGTCTTTTGGAGATTCCTTACGAACAACAGAAGGCTTCTTTCGCAACACTGCGGCTATCTCAACATCCATGTACCCAATCTCTTGAACATAAGACTTTATCATTATCATGAGATGAGACATGACAGGTTCATATTTTTATTTTTCGTTCAGCAGCATGTTGTATAGAACGAACCAGTCATAGGGGTTAAGACAAGGCAAGTCTGCGCGCATGAATTCGTATACCTGGATAATTGAACCTCTCGCCACTTTGAACTTCGCGTTCGGAAAGCTATCAGTCTCGATTAGTCCTGTGACTTTCACACCAGTTATTTTGCTCAAAGACCAAGTTTCGTATTGCGACTTCATATGCTTCAGATAAAAATAGAACAACATGTGATCAGCCCCGCTATCAGTGGATGGAGCGTTCGCCACTTTCACAAAAGAACGAAACCTGAAGGCTTTTGGAGTGATTGGTAGATCCAGTTGCGAGTCTCGTGTGTTTTGAAGATCAAACGACACAACTGGCTCTAACCAATAATGGCTTGGTAAATCAACAGCATCATGTTGGATTCGCTTCAGGGTCCACTTGGGAAGTAAAAGCTTTTTGCTTTGATGAGTAGCTTGAGCCTCTTTCTCAGCTCTTTCTTTTTCTTTAGCCTCTCGGATGATCCGCTGATGCTCATCCAGTTCGGCTTCACGAGCCTTTCGCTTTTTAAGCTCGTTTTCATCCAGCTCTTCTTCATCTTCACTATTATCAACGATAGGCTCCTCACTGAACAATTTTTCCTTGCCCTTTGGTTCTTTCTTGACAATAGGTTTAACTGGAGCTTTGAAGTCTTCTTTCCTTGACCTATCAGACACACCTTCTTCCCCTTGTTTTCGGAATGCTGCCAGATTCTAGAACACCTTCTAGCCTGTGAAGCATTGCAAATATTGGCCTTAACTTATCAGCAAGATGTTTTCGCATGGTAATTGTGATCATTGAGTCCCTGGTCTCAATGATATCCGAGAGCATGCCGGTAACATCTGTAATACAACTTTGCATGACATCCCTCTCAGATAACAAATCATTGACCTGTTTCTCTGAAGCTTCTAGTTTGACACTTAACACCTTTACTTCTTCTGTCTTGAGGGCGAGAGAGTCCTTGATGTTAATCTCGTTTGCCAGTTCATCTTGAAGCTTGTAAATTTGAGAGGAGATGGAGGTTTGAAATGCTTCATGGTCAGTTTTCAGACCAGTACGGATTTCTTGCAATTTGGCTTTCTCAGATTTAAAGAGAGAATCCAGACTCTTTAGAGATTCATTGGCTGCTGTGGTGTTAGAGTTGAATGTGGTTTGGAAATTCTCCATGAATGCAGTAGCGTCAGAAATTAGTTTATCGACTTTTTCGGTCGTAGTCTTGCAAACTTCAGCAGAATCAGTAACTGCTATATTCATCTTTTCAGCATTGGCAGAATGCTCCTTTGTGATTCTTTCAAAAGAGAGACTCGACTTTTTCGAGCATTATCATCCTCGTTGCGAACACTATCATCATCGTTGCGAACAAGATTATCCTCCTCGATGCAAATATCTGATTGAGTCTCATACTCCGAACCTTCGCTTTGGAGTGGGGGTCTTTCGCTTGCGAGCTGGCTGCTTTCGCTTTTCGGGAGCAGCATCAGAAGTTCCTGTTGGTGTCTTTCTCTTGGAAGGAGGTTTCGCAGCTGTAGAAGAACCTTCCTTATCAGTAGTTTTCTTCTCTCCCTTCTTTGAACCTTTTTGGCCTCCCTTTTTGGGTTTGTCAGCCTCAGTGATGATAGCTTGCATTTCTTCAGTCAATAGACGAGGCCTAGATGGAGTTAATTTCATGTATCCCTCCAACATTTTTGCTAGAAGCTGGCACATCTCTAAACATTACTTCTGGGATAGAACCAATAAAAGAAAACTTGCAAGAATCTTAAATAATAATCCCAGTAGTGTGAAAGGTAGAAATTAATGCCATCAACATGTCTTGCATCAGCGGGATTTTGAGCTTGTCAATGGACCAGTGGACAATAAGGGTCCAAAAACGTGCACAGGAGATTTCACTATGACGTGTGGTAGAGAGTGTGCTCTGAACCACTTGAGCCTAAAGAACAGAGCCATAGTCGACATTTGAACCCGTGTAGAGACCATAGAGAATCGCCATGAATAGCTTGCTTGCACAATCCGATCTGGTCACCCTTTTAGAAAAACCCTTAAACAGTAAGGTGAAGAGACCATTCCACTGAGGAGGCAAATTGGGTTTTATAAACTTTGAAACGGCGGTTAGGGTTTCTTTGTGATGGGTTTAGAGCAAAAGAACAATCATTTGTGCTCATGCAAAACCCTAAAGCTTGGATCTAGGTTTCTCTATTGTACATGCAATTCATCCAAGACTTGAATATCCTAATCTAGCATACTAAAAACTTGAGATCTATATAAATAACCAAGTAAGAATATTACCTCTTGATTGTAGTATGAAACTTGAATCTTCAAAGCTTACAAGAACCAAGCACATCAAATGCGGTGCCTCTAATGGCTTACAAACACCAAGGCAAGAGGAAGATGTTTAGGAGAGAGGATGAGAGGCTAGAAATCGGCTCCAAGATTCCAAGGGTTCAAGTGACCGATTTCCAATGCCTTAGGGGTCCTTTTATACTTTAACTGTTAGGGTTTCAGTCAAAACCCTAATTGGATAGATTAGGCCTTAAGCAGTCCACAGAACCTTCCAGAATAAGGCCTCCTTGGAAGAATTCAAGATGGACTCCACCTTAAGTTCGTCCATGCCCTAATCTATAAGGATTCTCAGCTCAAAATCAATTATCTTATAATTGCAGTTCCAGTCCCCTTTATTTAATCAATCTCTTTTTAGTCAAAATAATTAATTCTTAATTAATTATTTAACCAATATTAATTAAACAAATATGATTTCTCTTTTAATATATTATTCTTATAATATATTAATAAACTGCAATATCCTCTTTCTTTATAAATCATACTGTCCAGTTACTTTGGTGAAGGCAACCCAAAAGGACCATGCTCAACCGGGTCAAGTACATACCAAATATAGTTATGGACTTAGACACTAATCCAACAGTCTCCCACTTGGATAAGTCTAATAACTAAATTTTCAAGTACGACTTCAGGATCCGATTAGCAATCGTATCTCTCATAAGCTACTATCAACTCTGATCTTATCAGTAACCTGTCCTTTATATAAGGGATCGTACAGTCCTCTGTTCTAGATATCGTGCGGATAATTACACGGAACATAGTCATACTAATTATCCAGCAGTTTGTTTCTCGATCTCTGATTTTTCTGACATAGAACTTTATTAAACACGTCAATTCAGTCATGACCAGGTCCGACACATAAGTCAAACCAAATCATCGAGGGGCCCAAATATCACTTTTACCCTCTTAGGATAAAAGGAACAGATAAACTTCGACTTATATGCATTTACGATTCACTTAACGAATCATGCACAACAATGCGTTTTATAACATCAAGTTACTGATGCGATTACGCATTATCAATGCACAACCAACTCCCAAACAATAAACCATATATCTAGGTTTAAAGACTATATGATATTATCGTCTTGCGATCACTCGTGATAAATTCCATGAAGTGATGCCAGCAAGCGTGGGTTTAATCCAATGCTCAAATCTTATTCATAAGCACTCATGAACATTGCAGCAAACCTTTGCTATGTCGAATACACTTTAGACAATCAAGAAACCAATTCATGACAGTCTTCTTTCATACCTACTCCCAAAGTATAAGCGACTGTGGACTGTTCGAATAATCTTATTATTCAGGAAGTCAAAACATGCAAAGTGAAACAATAGGTAAATAATTAACACAAGACAATAACTTTACTCATAAATAGTACTCCTTTATTTATTCATCAAATGTTAATTACAATTAATCTATTACACGTTTTGAAGCTATCTAATCTAAACTAATATCATCCTTCAACCCAATGCTCCTAGCGTGCTGCAAGTGCTTAACCCTATTCAATCCCTTCGTAAGGGGATCTGTTGGGTTATCCTCTGATGATACCCTCTTCACTACGAGGAGTCCCTCTTCCACCTGATTTCGAATAAAATGATATTTCCTTTCGATATGTCGAGATCTACCATGATCCCTCGGTTCATTGGTCAAGGCAACCACTCCTTCATTATCACAGAAAATGTCCATAGGCTCCTTTATGGCTGGCACAACTCCAAGGTCTCCAATGAACTTCTTCAACCATATCGCCTCCTTCGGCGCTTCGCTCGCCGCTATATACTCTGATTCGTACGTTGAATCAGCTACGGTCTCCTGCTTGGAACTTTTCCAAGTTACTGCTCCTCCACTTAGGGTAAAGACCCTGCCCGACTGTGAACGGTAGTTGTCTCGGCCGGTCTGAAAACTGGCGTCACTATACCCTCGCACCCTTAAGTCATCACTCCCATCGAGGACTAGAAACCATTCCTTAGTCCTCGGAAGGTACTTAAGAATATTCTTGATTGCGGTCCAATGTGCTCTGCCAGGGTTCCCTTGAATCTGCTGACCATGCTCAAAGCGAAGGCCACATCAGGCCGAGTACAAGTTATAGCATACATGATCGAGCCAACTGCGGAAGCGTAAGGTACTCGGCTCATCTCTGCTATCTCGACTTTGGTATTCGGACTTTGAGTCTTACTCAACTTGGCATTACTTTGGATCGGTAACTCCCCTTTCTTGGAATTCTCCATACTCAAACGCTTTAGTACCTTGTCCAAGTAAGTGTTCTAAATAAGTCATATTAGTCTTTTACTCCTGTTTCTCACTATCCTTATTCCCAAAATATAGGCAGCCTCTCCGAGGTCCTTCATAGAGAAACGCTTCCCAAGCCAGGACTTAACCTCCTGCAGGGTCGGGATGTCATTTCCTATGAGCAGTATGTCATCGACATACAATACGAGGAAGCTAACTATACTCCCACTAGCTTTGACATATACACATGATTCATCCTCGCTTCGTAGGAAGCCAAACTCTTTGACTTTCTTGTCAAAACAAAGATTCCATCTGCGAGTTGCTTGTTTCAACCCATAAATGGATTTCTCAAGCTTACACACTCTATTGGGATGCTTGGCATCTACAAAACCCTCTGGCTGATTCATGTAAACATCCTCAGCCAACTTCCCATTAAGGAACGTGGTTTTGACATCCATTTGTCATATTTCATAGTCATGAAATGCAGCAATGGCTAGCATCACCCTAATAGACTTTATCTTCACAACCGGTGAGAAGGTCTCATCATAGTCAACTCCGGGACTTTGAGTAAAGCCCTTCGCAACCAATCGTGCCTTATAGGTGTGTACTTTCCCATCCATGTCGGTCTTCTTCTTGAAGATCCATTTGCACCCGACCGTCTTACGACCTGGCACATTGTCAACCAAATTCCAAACTTGATTGTCGTTCATGGACTGAATCTCGCTGTCCATAGCCTCTTTCCACTTCACAGACTCCGGGTCTGCCATGGCTTCCTTATAGTTGTTAGGTTCATCCAAATTTACTAGTGTACTATCACTAATAAATGTATTCCCTTCAGTAGTGAAATGGAAACCATAAAACTGGGGTGGAACACTAACTCTTTCAGAATGTCTAAGAGGTAAGGACTCGTCAATCGGTTCAACATGGGTTTCCTCCTCAAGTTGAGTGCCAGTGTCAAAGGTTCCTTCATCGTTCGATTCTTAAAGCTCTTCAAGATCGATTTTCCTCCCACTGTCCCCTTGGCTTATGAGTTCTCGTTCTCGGAAAACCCCTCTCCTCGTAATGAAGACAACATTGTCACTCGGTCTATTGAAGAGATAACCAAAGGACTTCTGCGGGTAGCCGATGAAAATACATCGCTCACTACGAGGTTCGAGCTTGTCGTGAGTCTCTCTTCTTACGAAAGCCTCGCAACCCCAAACCTTGATATGTACCAACGAGGGAGCTTTCCTTGTCCACATCTCGTGAGGTGTTTTGGAAACCTTCTTTGTAGGGACTAAGTTAAGGATATGGGTGGCAGTATCTAAGGCATACCCTCAGAATGAGATAGGTAGTGAAGCACGACTCATCATGGAACGAACCATGTATAGAAAGGTTCGATTACGCCTCTCAGCTACTCCATTCAACGGTGGTGTCCTAGGTGGCGTCAATTGCGAAACGATTCCACATACCTTGAGGTAGTCGTGGAATTCAAGACTAAGGTACTCTCCACCTTGATCAGATCGAAGCATCTTGATTTTCCTGCCCAACTGATTCTCCACTTCCTGCTTGAACTCTTTGAACTTTTCAAAGGTTTCTGACTTGTGCCCGATTAAGTAGATATAGC